GATCTGACTGTTCTCGTAGCCGTGTTTGCCAAACATTAAGATTTAATTACCCTGTGCTACTGAGCAGTAAAATAGCTGATATAGAGACAATCATCTAGGTTAAGGTGATCACAGCACGACTGTGAATTAGCTACTCACTCACAAAAAAAGAGAATTGGTTTGCTTTCTGCTTCTAGGCAAGGCTCTGGCTCTTGATAAGGGGTTCCTTAGCCCAAATTCAGCCAACTGTGCATACCTACCATCTCTGGCAACTATACCACACTCTGAGATTTGGAGCGGCTAACTGGCGCTCCCACACTAATACTTCAGCGACTGGGAATAGCAACTGATTTGCTTGGATCAAATGGATTTGTGTCTAATTCTGAAACCTATAGAATTGTGGCAGTTAGCATTCTAAAGGAGGAGCAAGGCAATGTCAGCTGACCTGGGATACAGGAATCGGTCCCTTTAAGAGTAGCTACTCCTTGCCCCTAGCGCTGCCTCCTCCTCTCTAGGACTCTGTAACTATTACAGATTGCTATGGCTAGTGGTACCGATGACGATGGTGGGAAGGGACAAGGGAATAGGCTGAAAAAGAGAAGGACCCCAGACCCTATGAAAAGTCTGGCTCACAGGCTCGCTCCCCACTTCCACTTCCAGGATCTCTCTCATCATCCTATTGGGAGCTGTTGTTTAAATAAACCTCTGTTGTTTGTGTACTTCCCCCCCAAGGCTGTTGCCTACGCTGTCTCCTGTCAGCTCACTGTCTAATAGAAGCCTTTCTTCTGCAGCCCTCACTGGCTTCCCTCCAACATATAAAGTGGAACCCCTAGGTGACCAGCCCTCATCTATGGGCCCCCAAAACAATTCTCTGAGAGACTCAGGACCTTTTCCTTCACAGTTCATAAAAAAGTTAAGGCACTAAGTGACAGTCAGCTTTTCTTACTGCCACTTAAGGAAGACAACATCTAGACTGATCACAATTTCAGGTTTAAGTTGGGGGCACACACCTAGTGACACACTTCACCCAGCAAAGTCCCATTTCATAGTTTCTAGCATTTTCCTAAATATTATCAGCAACTAGGAACCATGTGTTCAACATATGCACCTGTGAAGGGCACTTTATATTCAAACCATAGCATACTAGGCCCCAGAGGGCTCACTTCCATTCCAGAATACAAAATGTATTCAGTTGATTTTCAAGAGTTCCTCATAGTCTTGTTATTATGTGTTTTTGTTTGTTTGTTTTTGAGGGTTTTACTATCTAGCCTTGGGTGGCCTAGAACTCACTATGTAGACCAAGCAGGCCTCAAACTCTGAGACCCACCAGCCTCTGCCAAAGAGCAAAATCTCTTCGAAGACTCCTAACAAACTATTGTGAGCCCTTGTAAAATTCCAAAACCAAGTCACATATTTCCAATATATAATGTGCTGTGTGACTTTTCCTTCCTTTCCCCAAAGAAGGCCCTGATGACCAAGCCAAACTAAACCAAACCAAAATAAGGATTTATTGAGAACTCAGGTTATTTACAACACTACGAGTGACTCAAGGTAACTGCGTCACTCCAAAGCCCACTTTGGCAAGGATGCCAAGACACAAAAAGCAACATCTCTGGAGCTCCCTGCAGGACAGTCAGCTCTGCTGGGATCTCTGGCCTCAGCCTGCCTTGTTCACTGCATTTATAATGAGGAGAAGGGCTCTGTGAACCGTGCCACTGAGTTCCCTGAGCCTTGTGTCACTAGTTTTAAGTTTATGAGCCTCCCTCCTCCCCATAACTAAGGAATACAATGGCAAAAAGTAAAAACACCCACTCCAAAAGGAAAAACTGAATAGCAAAGAACCAAACCAATGCATGTGCAAAACGGCAAATCCTGTAGCTCCATGCCCCTTGTTTGTGTAAACCTGCCTAAAACGTTCTACCTGACGGGGTTAATTAAATGGCCTGTACCTGGGCAAGGCAGAATGGGGTAGGCCTGGCTAGGGTTCCCAGGCTTTTGAGGATGGAAGAATCACAAGAATCAGGGGCGGCAGAGACAGACGGAAGGACAGGAAGAGAGGAAGAAGGTGGATACTGCAATGGGTTAGCCTGGAGAAGAAACCACATGGGGCCACCAAGAACTCCAATAAAGGCGTGAAAAGGCCCAGATGAAGCATAAAAGCAAGTATTTACAGGATTATGGATAGAAGATAGGATGGTTAAGGAGGATGGTATTGGATGAGAGCTGGGAGATGGATGGTATGGTGATTCAGACAGCGTAGATAGGAGTATCTGCCCAGCCCCCAGTAAATAAGGCAATTATAAATCTAACAGCTTCCTGTGTCATTATTTGTGATGGCAGGTTAGGTAATACCTCCATGATAATCATAGGGCTAATTAATAAGAAACAGCAATATTTACTTTTTATTAACTATAACAAAGTATCAGGGGTCATGAGAGGAACTCCAAAAAGCTTAGCAGCCTGCCCAGCAGCCTGATCACAAGCCCCACCTTGTGGGTTACCTACAGCTTTCCTGAGCAAATGTTCCACATTCCCAACATTTCCAAGCTCCTCACATAGTAACTGCGGCTTGGGCTACACTCAACAGCTTCAAACATCAAGTGGGGCAGATGCCAGCACTCCAACCCTAGCATGCACTGCCTCCTATGCTTTCCTTTGAAATTATGGAAGTCTCTACACTTCCATTTTGCCTACCTGAAAAACCAGTCAATGGACAATGTCAAGGTCAGTCACTAGTGGAACCAGTATCTGGGCCTTCCACCCTACAGCAGCCTGAGTGGCTTAACAGTTGAGCACAGGAAATTCAAAGGTGGGAACAGCCAATTCCTGAAACGATCTAAGGCATTTTCTTTAATATCCAAGCATTTGCCCTTTTTTTGTTGTTTTTTTTTAAGTGCTAAAGATGGAACCCAGGGCCATGAGCACACTAAGAAAGTGTTCTACTTGAGGCTACAGAGATGGCTCATTGGCTAAGAGCACCTACTGCTCATTCACAGGGCCTGGGTCCAGTTCTCAGACCCATCTGACAACTTCAAACTATCTGCATGTAACTCCAGTTCCAAGGGCTCTGACTCCCTCTTCTGGCCTTCTTGGGTATCAGGAACATATTTATATACATAAAATTAAAATAAATCTTAAAGAAGAAGAGAAGGAAGAAGGAATAGTAGAAAAAGGAGAATAACAAGAATAACAAAGTGCTCTACCACTGAGCTGCATCCCCAGCACACAGCTTCTTTCTCATAGCTCAGATCTCTTTAGCAGCTACACTTTGGTTGGTCTCGAATTCTTCATACATTTTTACTTGTTTTCTGGGCCAACTACAAACTTTTAAACCTTCCCACTGTGCCTTTCGCTCAGAGTCTCACTGTAAACTTTGATGTAAGAGACCAGCAATAAGCACACTGCAACCTAAATACCAGGCTGCCTTCCACTGTCTTTGAGCACATTTATTAAATTCGGCTGGCATGGTCTCAGGACATGTTCAAGAAGAAACGCAAGGCTCTGCTACAGTCTAGCAGGTGCGACTGACCCCCAGCACAGTTACAGCGAGTACTCTTTCTCCATTTTGCCTGGCAGCTAATGAATGGTCTTCCTGCATACATGCTTATCTGTGTGCTCGGCTGCTGAGCTCTCCGGAACCACGGTAAGTCCTGTTTGCAGCAGGTGAAGCCATCCTTCCGAGAGGCGCTCCCACTGGCCCATGGCCCCACAGCAACACACCCCGCACAACACTTTCTATGATACTTCATTCACCGTAACAAAGAGCTGAGAAACAGCAACTTCGGGGACCACGGATTTACTCGTGACCCCAATTTTAGAGTGTGCTCTATAGCCCCGCTGTGGGGCTCAGGCACAAGGAAAAAGGGAAAGCAGCAAGCTCTAACTTTAGCTAAATGGGATTAAGAAGCTTGCTTGGTAACAGTTAAATTGGAATGAGAAAACAATAAGAAACTCTCACCTGAGACAACAGAGATGAAACTCAACTACCACTGTCTGCTTTTCTAAACCTGCTTTTCCTCTCCCTCTTTTTCAGGAAATGAGCACAGATAGCAAACAAGTTTAAAGATAAAACTGAACTTGACTAGAAACCTGCAAATTTCACCTTCTGTAAAACTTGCTTTGCTCTGGGAAAAAAAAAAAAAAAAAAAAACAACTCTCCTTTGGGGTAGCAGTGGCCACCCTAGGATGGTCTTATAGACAAGACTATGGTAACAACTATGCGTGTATAAGCCATGAAACATTTCTGACAGGGCCTCTCTAAGCACTAGCTAGGGGCCACAGCTGTACGAGAATGAAAGTACTTCCATTTATCTCCAAGTGCTGAGAATTTCTTGTTGGAAAAGGTGAGTCGCCCTAACCAGATGAGGCCAAACATCATAGCACTGGGAGCATGTGTGGAAGACTCGCTTCTGGTAGCTATGAAGACCAAAGTGACCTAACTTCCTCCCAAAATAGCATCGACAGCTTAGGGCACATAAGCCTACTGGGAGCACTTCCTAGTCAAAGCACGGGTTCCAGGAACCTACAGTGAAAGGAGATAATCAACCCCCAAAGTTGTTCTTTTCCCTCCACGCAGCACACACACAGCCCACGACACACAGAAATATACACACATACAAATAAACAAAAGTAATTCAAACATGTAAAGAAATAGACCACCAGAGAAAATACCTTATAACAGAAGACACTTTGTAAAGTTCAGTATTTTCAAAAGGCTACCTCTGGAAAAATAAAAAATGCTTTACTTTCCAGTTTAGCAAAACTATACCCCATAATGCAGACACATTAAGATAATTTAATAATGTTAAAGCTAGCACTATCCAGATTTTAAAATAGTCAATTATAAAATGCAACAAATAAGGAGCACGAGTTATTTACTACAGCAGTCACAAAGAGAAGATACTGCTGGCTGCTTTCAAACTCAAACCCTGCTGAAGCCATTCGGCTATGCACTTCACTGAGACTCCCACAACACACATCACAAAATCAAATCCAAGTACTCATTATTTTTATCTTTCTACCTGTATTCAGGCTGCCGGCTTGTGGAATGATCATCCTTTGTCCATCTGTAACCAGGTTCATCCTGCAAAATAAATAAATAAATAAACTGACTGATAATTTCGGCTTTGTTTACCTATTTTGAACAGCATCTGAGGCAAAATTACAAAGAGAGTAAAACCTCTCTAGGAATTCCTGAGCTTCCAAAACAGAGTAAATAAAGGTTACAAGTTACACACTTCAGCAACTAAAGATGACTGAACCTGCCACACCACTTACCTGTAAATTCACAGACTTAGTGCCATAGACACATGTAACAACATGAAAACAGACTGGCTGTCTGGGAACAAGGGCCCCAGTCAAGTGGACAATGATCAACTTTTTCATTGTCCAAGGTCTCTGACCAATGTTCATGTTCAAGTTCAGTGAAGAACTTAGTGTTTTTCACATTTTGCTTATTTTCTTTTCTCGTTTATCACTTAATAATGCAGAGTTAGAAGCAATCTAGCAAGAATTGGCACTGATAAGAAATATTATAATATCTGATACAAAATTTAAAATGAATCAAATGAAGCACTTTTCGTCCTCTAAGACACATGTGTAAAGATACATACACACACACAATCAACCACATAGGGGGCTGGAGAGACGGCTCAGTGTTTCAGACCACTTGCTGGTCTTGAAGAGGACCCAGGCTTGATTCTCAGCACTCACTGGGGCCTCACAGCCATCTGGTAACTAGATCCCATGCCCTCTTCTGGCCTCTATGGGAACTGAACATATGTGGTTCAGATCTGCATGCAGACAAAATGCCCATAAACGTAAAATAAAAATAAAATTAAACTTGGCAAAGTGGCACATGCTTTTAATCTAAGCATGCCAGGGCCAAAGTAGACAAATCTCTGTGAGTTCAAGACAAGCCTGGTCTACATAGCAAGTTCCAGGACTATAGAGACCCTGTCTCAATAAACAAAAATAAACACAAATGCAAATGATTTACAGTAAGAGAAACTGATATAGCTAAAATGTTACTTTTCATGTTCCTCATATAACATTACAAACCCAACACGTGTGTAAATAAAATGAGTCTATATTTTCCTTCTTAATATCATATAGAAATAAAGAGAAAATAAAACGGCCAAAGCTATAATAAAGTACTAGATCCAGTAAATAGTTTCTAAGTAAATTCAACATAAAACTTAGTGCTTTAAAAGTTCTAAGGTTTTTTGTGTTAACATGGCTTTGTCTTGCGGTACTGAGGACCACGACATGCCCAGCAAGAACTCTCACCCCTGAGCTGAGCAGCACAGACAACCCGGAGGAATGAAGTAAAGCAACTGTGTTGTTTCTGAAACACTACTACAAGCTTTTAGAAAAACAGTCACGATCATGAGGTATCAAACAAAGACCCAGTGAAAACAAAACTCCTCAAACAGCCACAAGGAGTTTTGACAAAAGAGTATGAGATGCTCTTGGTGTGAGCAAATCCATTCTCCCTGAGCCTCCCTGGAGAAGGGTCTGACAGTAAAACCCAGTGGCTCTAGTAGAGAAATGATGCTTTCTTCCCAGCATGGAGAACCTTCCTAAAGGAATAGCATGACACTATAAACAAGCAAAAGCCAGCGATGCAAGGAAGGAAGCTGTTGACCTGCAAACTTCAGGAAGAATGATCAGAAACCACTACAAAGTCTCATTAGTACTTCAGAATTGTCAGACTCAAAACTGTGAAGGAGCATGAGAACTGGACTCCTAAACTTCTTTTCGTTTCTTGAGACAGGGTCTCTCTATAGTCCTGGCTGTCCTGGAATTTGTTAACCCTGAGGAAATCACTCACCTCCATTTCCTCAATTGCCAACATGAGGTTGAACAGTACAGTGTTTAAATGTATGCTACTGGTTACCATGTTATACATTATAATATAGAGAAGGAGGGAAGGGGGAAAGAAGGCAAACGGTGGGGCTGGAGAGATGGCTCAGAGGCTGAGCACTGGCTGTTCTTCCAAAGGTCCTGAGTTCAATTCCCACAACCATATTGTGGCTCACAACCATCTATAAGGAGATCCCATGCCCTCTTCTGGCATGCAGGCATACATACAGGCAGAATAATGTATAAATAATAAATAATCTTAAAAAAAAAGAAGGTGAACAGTATAGAAAAGAAGTATTGTAAATTTGTAAGTTCAGACATAGCAATTGCTTCCAACTTTTTGATAAAAGAAATTATCAGAAACCTTAAATAGCTTCTAGATTATCAAGAACATGTTAATAAACTTAGTAGCTTACATTTTAAAACTGTTTGCCATCTGAATCAGTAACTTGACTGAGTTCTAATCTGAAAAGTAAAGACCTTAAGAATTCTAAGGAAACATGAGATAATGGACTTAAACCCACCTCACGCAGTGTTTCGTGTTAACATAAAGCAACTGTAAGCATGAAGTGGCAGTGCTGAGCACCTGCTCACCGCTGACTGTCAGGTGTTAAGTTGCGTGAGTCTGCAAAGCCCTGCAAGCTTAAGGTAAAAAGGCGAACAAAGTTACAGGCTGGGTATACAGCTCAGGACAGTGCTTACCATGGCGTAAGCATGAGGGAGGCCATGGCCTTGCTGCCCAGCACCACACACAAAGCAAGCACACTGGAAATACTAATACCACTCAGAGCTCTCCAGGATGCTCACTCATTATCCAGCATCATGAGATCCTTGACTACTAGGACCCTCTGGAGCTACAGCTGGCAGTCAATAGCATCTAACTGGAATGGTAACCAAGCCCTAAAAACCTAGCACTCCAGCACCCAGGAGGCTGAGACAGGGGGACAGCAAGTTCCAGGCAAGCCTGCCCTATAGAGTGAGACCCTATTGCAAAAGGGAAGTAGGGGAGGCTGCAAATAAAACCAGGCCTAGCAACATAAGAGAACACAAGCAGCAGGTGATTATTCTACTGTCAAGGCCTGCACAGACACGAACTTTAAACTTGAAAGAAAGAACAATTAGTACACGGGGAATTTACATACTCCTCTGTGAGGTGGGCCGCTTCTTCGATCATGAGAAAAACTGCGGCCCTCGTCACATTCTCGGTAATCAACATGACTGTAATATCTACTGTAGCCTCCTTCATCAGGTCTGGCTAGCAGAGGCGGTCTCTTGTCTAGCAGAGGTGGTCTCTTGTCTAGCAGAGGCGGTCTCTTTGGCACAACATTAACTACTCTATGGTAGCCATCCTAAAACAGACAAAAAGAAATATAGAGACATCACTAATTTCTCTATTTGGCTTTGGAAATGTTTCTTATAAGCACAGGAATTCTGGTCCATAATTCAACAGAGTAAATGTAAAAGCAAACTAAAACGCACTAATGAAAAATTACTAAGAGTAACATCTTCATATAGATAAGTGGGAATGAAATTATTCTATGAAAAACAATCTCAAACATCCAAAATAACACACAACAGTACAAGGTGACAATCATGATTTTAGGAAAAGGGGGCTAGAGAGATGGCTCAGGGGTTAAGAGGACTTGCTGCTTTTCTAGAGGATCTAGGTTCAGTTCCCAGCACCCAGACGGTGGCTTACAACTGTAAAATCAGTTTCAGGGAATATGACACTCTCTTCTGGCCCTTGTAGGTACTGTATCCACATGGTACACACTTGTACACGCAAAATAAATCTAAATAATGTAGTGTAAGTGAAAAAAGTCATTTTACCAAAACCCTGCACACAATAAGAAGGTTCTGGCAGCATTGCTGCTAACGACAATGAGAACAGCACTGTCTGGCGTATTATGCTTAAAGTATTCTATCAGTATTCTAACACAGGACTTGTGCCCATAAACCAGCAAACAGGGAAGAGTAGGTACTGAACAAAGAACAAAACTAGAAATTAGAAAGAACAAAAGAGAGCATTCTGCTATTTTTCCAGAAGCACAGGAGAGAGAGGGAACTTCTACCTTTTTAAGTTTGGACAGAAGGTATAAAAGCTAATCTAACATTAGAACTAGTTTCAAAAGTAATGCAGTCTCAGTGACTTGAAGTGTTTACTAACTTTTTGGGCTTGGAGACATAGCCCACTGGTAAAGGGCCCTGACTTCTCTTTCAGAGGATCCGGTCATTTAGCACATGCAGATCATGGTAGAACTCCAGCTCCAGGAGACTGAAGTCCTCTTCTGGCCTCCGTGGGCACTGTGTGCACATGCTGCGCAGATTTAATACATGCAGGGGAAAGACTAATATACATAATAAAATAAAACTTATTTTTTAAAAAACTGTCACCAAAGGGGGTTCTGTGTGATTTGAGGAATAAGACAGAAAACACAGTCTGTCTTACATTAACAGCTAATATGAGCTAGAAGCTATTAGGGTAAGAGGAAGAGAACTACAGTTCACGTGCCATGATTTGACCTAAGCTATGTAAGGATCATCCACACAGTTTTACATTTTTTGAGACATGATCTCAAAAAATGGCCAGGATGGCCTCCAGAGCACAATCTTCTTTTCTTTTTTGAGGCTGAGTTTCATCCTGGAACACATATCCTCCTGTCTTAACCTCCTGAGTGCTAGAATTATAGGTGGCTTAGCATGCACACAATAAGTAAATTGATTAATTAATTTAAAAATAAATCATTATCTTAATTTTCTATATATCCCAATTTTTAAAACTCTACTATGAAAGATATGTTCATTTGAGAAAGTAAAAGCATCAGCTAAATAGCTGAATAGCTTGACACATAACTCTACAAATATTAAATCTCATAGCTAACTGGACACAAATTAAATGGATTAGGACATTTATGTAAAAGCATTTCTTGAGAAGGGTGGGATTCAGTTGTAGAGCAGGGATTAACATTCATAAGGCCTTGGGTTAACTCCCTGAAACAAAACAAAACCCACCAATTTTCCAATGTATCATTAAATATATGTGAACTTATTTTAGCACAAAAAACATTGTGGTAGAAAAATCCCACATCAATATACCAGATCTCCAACAAGATCACAGAAGAAAAAACTTCCCCAAACTAAGGATACACACATACAAATATAAGCAGCACACACAACAGCAAACTCCTGTCCAGCGGGAGTTCAACGGGTTCCTAAGGAAGGGTGAAAAGAATGGTGGGACAGAGACACGAAGAAAGAGGCCAAGTCAGATTTTTACCCAACTTATATAGGAAGAAGGCAGGAAAGGGGGGAGGCTAATTTACTGCTGCAGAAGATAGCAAGAGTGCTTTCATGGCTTGAATATTGCACCTGCAAGATACCATAAGGATGTTTTCTTAAGATATCTTACGGATGCTCTAAGGCTAACAAACGGATGTCCTCACAAATCTATCACCCATAACCTAGGGTCCTAGATAACTCTTCCACTAATTGGCTTTAGGTCTCCACTAAAATGACCTTTGCTCACTATTTGGCTTTGGCTTCAGTAAATAGCTTTGTCTCCACTAAATAGCTTTGGCTCACTATTTGGCTTTGACTTCAGTAAATAGCTTTGGATCCCAGCAGAAAAGAAAATTCCCACAGAATATCAGTTAAAACGCTAAGTATACAACACAGGCAGTGATGGCACACACCTTTAATCCCAGCACTCAGGGCTGTAAGTTCGAGGACAGCCTGGTCTACAGAGTGAGTTCCAGGGTAGCTGAGGCTACATAGAGAACTCCTGTCTCGAACAAACAAAAAACAAACCACTAAGTACACATAACAAGTCAAATAAAGTGTACTGAAAGGTGCAAAAGAAAAACACAGGCAACATATAAAGGAAAACCTATCAAATAACAGCTGATTTCTCAGCAGAGTCCCTGAAACCAGAAGAATGAGTACACAGCCTACAGTAACTACAGAAACCAGGAACGTAACCTGGACCATTGCCAGGATGGGTCTGGAAAGCAGAGAGGGGAACAGCAGGATAGAGGAAATGGGAAGGGGGAGGGATCGATAGGGAGAGAGAAGGCTTTAAATACAAAAGGCTGCAAGGAAAATGGTAGAGCACAATCGATCTGGTGGGGTGGGGGAGATGGAAAAAGGGAGGCTCCCAAGGGGAGGTTAATACAGACGGTGGGAAGAGGGTAAGGCCAATAGCTTGGTACTATAGATGTGATAGGGAAAAGCAGGAAGCAACTTATCGAAGGGAAAAGGAGGTAGATACAGAGGGAAGGAATGAGTCTAGAAACAAAGCAGATTCCCTGCAAATCACAAGTGCTGCTGGGCGAATTTTCCTGGAAGCTGGCAATGAACTTATTGCCCAGATCAAGTCACTGAACGTGCCTAGCAGAACAAATCTCTCCTTGAGTTCTCTTCCAGTGTTTCTTTCTGGTAGTGATCACTGTTCTGGCTATTTTGGCTTGTTTGAAATGTTTATATAAAGAAACTCTAGGAGATACACTGCTGAGCCCAGCTTCCGGCCTTCAGCGCTGTTTGTGGAGTTCAACCGTGTTGCTGAATCTGGCAGTAGGCCACTTACCCAACTGTTGTATTATTTAAACAGCTCATTCACTCTCCTATTCAACATTCAGGCTGCTGCCAGCTTGAAGCTTTTAGCAATGTTGCTTATAAACATACAGACAATATGATTTTTAAAATAATGTTAGATGTTCTCTGGATCTCAAAGACTTTGGAACTTTTTCACTTTTGTGTGTACGTGTGTGCCTGGTGAATGTATGCCACTTCAGTGCTGGTGCCAGAGGCCAGAGGCCAGAAGGTATCCTGCAGCTTGAGTTACAGGCGGCTGCGAGTCCCCTGACATGAGACACCTGTCACCTGACAGATGCCTGATAGGAGTCTTCCAGGGCAGTAAGTGCTCTTATCACTGAGCCATCTCTCTAGCTCCTTAAAACTTTAAGTAGGGTAGGTTTTTACTAAGTTCAATGTCAGAAACAATAGGTGCATTTAGATGTCTACTGTTAAACACTTTTCTACAAATTCAGTGAGTCCACTTACATCAGACATGAATATAAAATTAGCTTCACAAGGCACATGACTGTAAGCACTGTTCAACTGAAGAAGGCTGAAGAAGGAAAATGGAAAAAAAATATTCTTCCTAAATAGAAAACAACACAACAGCAAGAGCCACCTGTGACTGTCATTAACAGAAGTCATCAGTGTTTTCAAATCAATGTAGTAGTTTGAATGTGGTGTCCTCAGTTGCAGGCGTATGTACTCTGAATATGTACTCCCAGTTGGTTGTGCTATTTCGGGAGGCTTAAAGGTGTGACCTTGTTGGAAGAGGTATGTTGCTGGGCTTTGAGAGTGTAAAGCAAAGAGTGTTGCTGTGCTCTGTCCTTGCAATTTAAGACTGACCCTGCTACTCTAGCCACCATGCCTGCAACTTATTGACTCATATACCTCTGATACTGTAAGCCTAAACAAACCTTTCCTTCTGTAAAGTGCCTTGGCAGTGGCGTTTCATCACAGTACCAAAAAGCAACTAAAATATCAGGTCCCAGCTACCTGTTCACATCTCAATCATGTATACTCATCACTAATTTAAAGCAAATCCCTTCCACTAGCTCTTAATATTTAGACACCTGTTGCTATATAGCTTAGGCCTTAAATGTCTCCCATTAAATGTCTGAGATATCACATATAGGACCTAGTACCTGACAGGAAATCATGTCACTAGGAATGTCCTCAAGGAGGACTGTGGCACCCTACTCTCTCTGGGTCTGTCTGTCTGTCTGTCTCTTCTCCATGGGTATGAGGTGAGTAGTTTGGATCTGGAACACACTCATAATATTCTGTCAATGGCCAACTCATTATAGAGTAACACCTCCAAAACCAAAGCCAAAATGAGCTTTTTTTTTCTTTTTATCTCCAGTAGTGTTAGGGCAACTGCAAAGCTAACACACCCTCTGAGGAACTAAGTCTTACTAAATCAGAAACTGAGGTTTTAATCTAGGTGTGGTGGTTCATGCCTGTGAGCTCAGCACCTGAGATGCTAAGGATTGCCATGAGCCCAAGGTCAGCCTAGTCTATAATTCCCACAGGGAATTATAAATCAGCCTGGACTACAAACTAAATAAAAGCCAGGTGGCACATGCCTATAATCCCAGCACTTGGGAGAAGAGGCCAAATGAGCAGGAGTTCAAATGTATCCTCAAGTACACAGTGAGTTGGTGGACAGCCTGAGCCATATCTGAGCCTGTCTCAAAAACGTTAAAAATAAAATTAAATTTAAAAAAACGGGGGCCCTGGCAGGGTGGGGAGGGGGTGACATGGGGCAGGCTAGAGATTTGGCCCTGATGGTTAACGACTCTTACTGTTTAATTCCCACAAGCTGTCTCACAACAGCTCCAAAGGATGCAACAGCCTCTTTTGGCCACCCACCCATACATGCACACTGGTGCTCACATGCAAAAGGAGTAACAAAACTGATCTTCCTAAAAACATCAGATTTTTTTTATACCTTATTAGTTGTATTCCAACCTCAGTGACCTCGGGCATCATTCTAGGTGTGATGGAGCATGTCTATAATCCCAGCACTTAAAAGGTAAAGGGGATCAGGCCAGCCTCAGATGATACACAGAAAGTTACCTCCAGAAAGACAGTGGGAGCACCCTGAGAAGTGATCTATACACTGTACTGGGTGAGTAAAAGGGCAAAAAGATTTAAAACTTACACTGTACTTAACTAAACTGTAAGCATGACAAAGAAGGCAAAGGAACCAATTCCAAGAGCCCTCTGAAGAGCAAAATACATGGAGGGCAAAAAGAAAGCTTCAAGTCACTCACACAAGAGTAAGTTCACCAGAGGGGGTGGAAATCTGAATTCTAGAGAAGAGAAATATAGGAATAAAGACTCACAAATCAATAAAGTGGGACCTCAGCTAGTGGAGGTACAGAAAATAACAGAGTAACAAACAGGTCTGGACAGGTTCTGTGTTCTTCAAGGAAGAGCAATTCAGCCTCTACCATCAGTACCGAAGCAGCCACCATGGAGAACAGACATCCAAACACAATTACTGTGATCATAAACACACAGGCTGGAGCTGTAAAACATCTCTGCCTACCTCCTTACTGATGCCGACAGCCCACGGGGAAGAGGAGTCAGGGTGACTGTTCGCATTTACACACACAAATGGCATTAGATAAAAATGCTTGCTTATGTTTACTATAAAATGCTCATTCAGTTTGACTTCTTTACTTTTTCTTTTTCGTTTTTCAAGAAAGGGTTTCTCTGTGTAGCCTTGGCTGACTTGGAACTTGCTCTGTAGACTAGGCTGGCCTCAAGCTCACAGAGATCCACCTGCCTCTGCCTCCTCAGTGCTGGGATTAAAGTCGTGCGACACCATGCCCAGATTTTTCTCTTCTGAGATGTTTGGGATCAATCAGTCTAGAAGCTCCTGCATGCGAGGCAAGCACTCACTGAATTACAGCCTAGCCCTTCAATTCTAATTCTTAAACTAACACTCTGGTCAATCAACATACTAAACTTCATCCGTAATACTTCCACCGGGGAACTCCATGTTCTAAAACATCAATTGCCTATCCTTCTACCAAAAGAGTGGCCTTAGACCTCAAGTAGCTTTTCCTTGTTCCCCAAACCCCGTTTCTTTTAAACTAGTTCCCTCTCAGGTCTCTCTTCTTCATGAGGTCATTTCCCAATGAATTACCTCAATGATTCTGAGTCAAATTCTTCAATATCAGCCTGGGCAATCATCTTGCAATCTTAAATCCATACAATCTTCTTTTCCCATCCACAAGTATGCTACTCGTTAAAAACCACACTCAAATCTTCAGACCAATGCCCAGCTGGCAAAATAAAATTTCTACTCATATATTTCTGGTGGTAAAAAGAACTTGAAACATTTTGGGAAGGTATCCTACAGCTATGACACTTAGCATGTATTATTTTTTAATCCTTCTAGATGAATCATAAAATAAATTTATAAAGTTAAAAAATTTATTAGAAAGTCTCTAGAAAAACCTGGAAAGGAATGACATAATTACTAAGTCTGTCCATCTTAATATAATGAGCTTCCTCCATTTTTTCTTTTCTCTTTTTTTTTGTTCTGAGACAGGGTTTCTCTGAGTAGCGTTGGCTGTCCTGGACTAACTTTGTAGAATAGGCTGGCCTCAAGACCAGGCTGGCCTCAAATTCAAAGCAATACCCCCTGCCTCTGCTTCCCACAGTGCTGGGATTACAGGCGTGCACCACTGCACCCAGCTTTTCTTTCTATCTTAAATCATTTTTATCAATTTCAAACTGAGCTGTAATTCAAGCCAATGAATGACAACCTTGAAGATGACAATGCTCATCCTGGTAAGGTACAGGATAAGTAACATATTGTCAAGTAGGCCTGGTTGCACAGTCCTATAAGCTACCTGAAAAGCTGAGGCAGAAAGATCACAAGGGCAAGGCCTGTGATAGGAGCCAAAGTAAATTTAAGGTCAAACTAGGAATTTTAATAAGACCTTTCTCTCAAAATAAGAAATGAAACAAAGGGCTAAGGGTCAAGTGTGTCAGTGGTCAAGTGCTTGTCTAGCATGAGAAAAGCCCTAGCTTCAATTCTTAGTATTACCACTATACATACACACAGACAAATCTTTAACACGATAAATAAAATATTCCTGACATGTAGACAAATAGTTATGCCTTTTGTGGTAGATAAAATGTCTAACGCTGCAACCCTAATGCCCCAATGTTAAAGACGCATCTGTGCAGAAGATCAACAGCTTTTTGACTTCCAAACCTCCCCTTAGTTCTCCATGTAGAACTCCAGGGAGAATATATCCACTCACTTAATAAATGCTGAACCTCTTAGATACAATTCTGAACATAGTAAACAATATTATCAAGAACATTATGAAAAAGAGGCCAGCTCAAGATTCCCCACTCTCAGAACAGAGACAGACAGAGAGATAGATGATCAGAATTATTATCTGTCCCTTGAGCCCCCAGGATTCTTCTCAACCTACAAGCTGCCTGACCAGACAGAGGCATGCCATCTGGAATGCTAACCAGGATATCAACATGCTTCTGCTCCAGAGGAGGAAAAAAAAAAATCTCTGGGTAGAATGTCATATTAATTTATGTTTTAACTTTAATTTTGTCATTGTTGTAATAGGGTCAAACTGGGTAGCCTGGCCTAGAACATGCAATGTAGACCAGCCTCGCCTTGAATTCAGAGATCCACCTGTTATGGCCTTCCAAGTGCTGATGAAAAGCATGTAAAAGCGTAACAAGCTCAATTTATAAGTATTTTAAGAAGACAAATAAATGGCAGCCGCAAAAGCAGATGTTCAACATTTCTCTGTTAATGCATAGTATAATATTTATAAAAAAAAAATTTCCTCCTCCAACTAAATTAAATTCAAAACCTTTTTTCTAAAATAACTTAATATAAAGTACAGGCTTTGCTTTTAACTTAAGTAAAATATTACTGCATTTTCTGGCTTTTAAAAGGTGAGCTGGACCTATTTTTCAAGGTGGCTGGTAAGCTAAGATTGGAGAAGTTGAAGACAGAATGACACAGCAGGATGAGATTTTCTCCATGTGGCAGCAACTTACACTGGGATGGCTCCGGGGAGGCACTCGCTCTCTTGGAAGTCGTTCATAGTCATACCGTCCCTCAGACCACATTTCATCTCTTGTGGAAGCCACTAAAAAGAAAACAAAAACAACTCTGGGTTTTGTTTGTCAGCAAGGAAGAGACAGTAAAGAAGCAAATGCCTGCCAAGACACCTGGAGGAGGGTGAGTGAGGACAACAGGGAGGAAAGCAAAGTATCCCTCCCTCAACATGTGAAAAACATGCCTGTTTGTGTATGTATATATGTGGGCCTACCTTCCTTCTATTTTAAATGTTATTTAAAAGTTCAATAAAACTTTTCCGCCCAACCATTTTAAAAACTAGAAAAGATACCATTTGATAAATAGTTTGAAAAGCAGACCAGAATAGCTACTCCAATTAAAGTTAGCCTCAGACTCACCATGTAGCAAAAGCTAGCCTGGAAATGGTAGCGTTGTCTCAGCCTTCCTAAGTGCTGGGATTACAGGTATATCCCAGCATGTAATGCTACAGTTTGACTTTTTTGGTTTGTATCTTAAAAAATTTTGCATTAGCCAGGCACAGTGGCTCACAGTTGTAATCCCAGCACACAGAAAGGCAGAAAGGCCGATCGCTGTGAATTCAAGGCCAGCCTGTTCTACAAAGTCCAGAACAGCCAAGGCTACACAGAGAAACCCTGTCTTGAAAAGCTAACAAAAAAAAGTATGTTAATTTATTTGTATATGTGTACATGATGTGTAGGCACATAGGCATGTACATTGTGTGAAAGTCAGAGGACAGCAGGAGTGTGCTCTATCATGGGGGTTCCAGAGTCCAAATTCAGGGCATTGGTCTTGGTGACAAGTGTCATTACTGACAAAGCCATCTTACAAAGCCCTGGGTTTGGTTTTCTGGCCTTAAACTACCGACCCTCCTGCCAGGCGCTGAATTATAGCAGTATGCCATCATAGTCATCAATAATCAGTAAATCAAAAGATCTGCTGAATATATCATATAAAAATCTGAGCCAGGCATGGTGGTGCACACCTTTAATTACAGCACTCAGGGAGGCAGAGGCAAGTGGATCGCTGTGAGTTAGAGGACAGCCTGGTCTACAGAGCAAGTCCAGGACAGCCAAGGCAACATAGAGAAACCCTGTCTCTAAAAGATGTTTTTTATATTTTTTTTTAATTTTAAAAAGTAATCTGACGAAGAGCCGGTTGGTGGCACTTGCCTTTAATCTAGTACTGAGGAGGCAGAGGCGGGTGGATCTCCTGATTTTGAGGCCAGCTTAGTTGACAGGATGAATTTCAGGACAGCTAGGCTGGTGGTCCTGGGTTCTATGAGAAAGCAGGCTGAGCAAGTTATAATGAGCAAACCAGTAAGCAGCACCCCTCCATGGCCTCTGTATCAGCTCCTGGCTCCAAGTTCCTGCTCTGAGTTCTTGTCCTGACTTCCTTCAGTAATGGGCTATGATATGGAAATATAAGCCAAATAAACCCTTTTTTCCCCAACTTTGCTTTTTGGTCATGGTGTTTTACCATAGCAATAATAAGGCTAACTAAGAATGTGAGTATGGTGTGCAAGTTACTTAGTACTTCACATGAAATTCACAGGCTAGCCGAATGCTCTCCTACAGATACTGTGCTCTCTTAGATGCACAGACATTTCGGGAAGGGACACACTACCAGAATGCAAAATGGAGAGCATGGTTTCTGGTTGTTCCTGGTCCAGTCTGGAATTTTCTGCCTATCACCTTAGAGGACAAATGACCTCAGATATTAGAATCACTCTAAGAATCAGTCACAGAACAGTGATCTAGAAAAGAGGGATTTCTAACCAACCTGGGTCCTGAGCCTAGGGTGCCTTTTTTTTTTTTTGTAATTTGGGTTGACACACCATTCCATATGTTAGCATTCTGCAACTCAGCTAATTCCTTGTTTGAGCTGGACTTAAATTATCACAAAAAGAAACAAACCTTAAAGGTAAGGATGATAAAGCCAGGTGTGGCGGCCCATGCCACCACAGCTATCACCCTGCCTCTGCCTCCCTGAGATTAAAGGCAGATTATAATTGGGCCACCACACCCAGTTATGGATGAGGAACTCTTAACTGAACATTCCCAGGTGAACTTCAATTACTGCACACCAGCAACATCAGGAACTTTTCTGAGAGCAACACTACCCAGGTTCCCACCTTTTCAAAGTCACCAAAAACACCCTTGGCAAGATTTCAGTGCTTTCAGACCTTAAGGTCATCTTAAGGCTAAAATCAAGATTAAAGGGAAGAAAACATTTCAGATATCCAGGAGGTAGTAAGGGCTGACCTAAAGCTAAAAACTGTAAGACTCCTTCTGGCAGAAAATGTTTAAAATTCCAGACAACTAAACCCAAAACCATTTCCTTTTAGAATATAATTAAAGTCTTTGAAAGAAACTCACTGATAGCAACTAAACTGCTCAGATTCCCACCTAGAACTCTGTGATGCTTGGTACTCAAGAGTAGGCCGTGTATGGATACATCGCTTATTGCTCAGCTCTGAGGGGTTGAGGCCAGCCAAGACTACAAAGTGAGAGCTAGTGTAAGAACGAGCATGAAGAATGAGTAACAAAAACTTTACAGAAAGCTTAAAAAATAAAAACAATAAATAGAATCATGAGTGATGACTCAAATGAATAGACAATAGTGAACAGCAGAATCCAAGAACAAGCATGAGAAAGAACCAAAGATCACAAAGCAATGATAAATAACCCTATCTACGCTAGCATCTGACAAATTTTCATTTGCTCTCCAAATGAAAGAAACTTTCAAAACATTTAAACCCTTTATCCAAAACATCCTAATGATGGAGTTACAATCTCCCACTTCTACATAAAAACTTTTGAGGCTCTCAAAAACTGAAATTCCAGAGTTGAGTCTTCCCAACATCAGAAAAGAAGCAAGCAAACAGAACAGGTTCCAGGACATCAAATAATGAAAAAAATCTTGATAAGGCATTCAGCACAGGCTTTTAGCCCTGGGAATAAAAGGGAGAAGGATGTCATTTCAGAAGGTTAATGTATGAACATACAAAATGGACTGGCAAGGACAGGAGCAACAAGACCAGGGGTAGTTTTTAGGAGGGGAGAGGGCAGAAGTTTGAGATTCACTTCCACTAAGTAGAACAACCTGGAACTCTCACAATTTAGCACTTTAAAAGTATTTCACTCTTACTAGCTCCACAAGTCACTCTGCACATTTTAGGCCAGATGTGGTAGTTCATGTCTGTAAACCAAGATCTCCAGAAAGCAGAGGCAGGACATACACCTTCACAGCCAATCTCAAGTAGCATGGGTTATGTAGCAAACCCCTGTTGAGACTAAAATGGTAGTTACTGGGAACCAAAGAAACTAGCAGGAGAAGGAAAGGCTAGAGAGAGGTTAATGAATGGGGACACAGTTATAGTTAGGTAGGGCAAGACGTCCTGGTGTTCTGTTGTATAGTTGAATGGCTATGGACAACAATAATAGCTATTTCACTTCAAAAAGTACAAGAATTTTGAAAGACTTTGCCATAAAAATATGGTATTTGAAGGGAAATGTTTATCCTGACCCAAAATTATGAAATATATACATGTATTGAAACATTAGATGACACCCCACTAATACACACATCTTGTATGATTTTCTACCTAAGGTAAAAACAGTAGGTGCTGGAGAGATGGCTTAGCCATTAAGAACACTGGTTGCTCTTATAGAGGACCCCGGTTTGGTTCCCAGTACCTACATGGTGGTTAACACAGTCTATAACCCCACTTCCTGAGGATCCGATGCCTTCTGACTTCTGTGAGTACCAGATATGTGCTGCACACACACACAGCAAGCAAAACACCCATACATATAAAATAACAAAATTTTAAAAGAAAATTTTCAAATAGTATAAATGAGAAGTTCCACTGACCCTCTGAAAAGCTCATGAGCTTTGGTGACAGTGACAGTGCAGCCTAAAAGATGTGAGTGTTCAGGGTTACAGTACAGGCTATTTATACCTCAACAACCGAGGTTCTTTTTTTTAATTTAAGTTATATATTTATTTATTATAATTTATTCAGCTCATGTTTCTTGATTACTTAAGGTGTCCTACAGTACAATTAGCTGGATTAAAGCTAGTTATATTTTGTTTGCTTGTTGATTCTTCTAAAACAGGGTTTCTCAGTGTAGCCCTAGCTGTCCTAGAACTTGCTCTGCAGTCCAGGCTAGCCTACAGCTCAGGGACCCACCTGCCTCTGCCTCACTAGTGCTGTGATAAAAATGTGCAACAGCACTGCCCCTCACAAATACTGCTCTTTTAAAAATGGATCTATTTGAGTCACTTTGTAGGCCAGCCTGGTCTACAAAGTGAGTCCAGAACAGCCAGGGCCACATAAAGAAACCCTGTCTCAAACAAAACAAAACCAAAAAACAAGTTAGAGAGAGAGAGAGAGAGAGAGAACAAAAGAAGGAAGAAAGGAAGGAAGGAAGGAAGGAAGGAAGGAAAGAAAGAAAGAAAGAAAGAAAGAAAGAAAGAAAGAAAGAAAGAA